AGCCTCCTAAGTTGCTGAGATTACAGGTGTGTACTACCCACCAAGCTTATATTTTTATTAATAGTAATGCATAATATGAAGTTATTTTATAGTAATGAATAATATGAAGTTCTTTGATTTATAAACATGTTTTATATTACATAATTAATTGTCTTAAATTGTTTCTCAATTGTAGGACAAATTATATCTACTTTCATTCATAGCTTTGGAGTCTTATCAAAAATATCTGGTAGAAAAATGTCACCACTTTTAGTTGAAAAATTAAWTTTTTTTCTGTTGTTACTTTTTATATAACAATTGTTTTGGCTATTCATGTCTTTTATTCCTTTAGATTGACTTTAAAATTATTCTTTGCTTGTAACAGCTATAACTGCCCACCCCTGTTCCATGGCATTGAATCAGAAATAAAAATGCACTAGGGAAGGACTAAGCTTTTCAAGCAGAAATCCACTTTATTTTTCAATTTAATCATTTAGTTTCTAACTCACATATTGATTATACTCATGTTTTTTCCTTCAACTCTTTGCTTCTTTCTCTCCCCTCCCTCCTACTCTTCCTCTTCTTCCTCATCCCTTTTTTCTTCCTTTCCCTGAGATTATGAATAAGGTGCTTTCCCCATAATATCTCCAAAACCATTCATTGTCAATGTAGAAGTGGAAGTTTTGTTTGTTTGTTTGTTTTTGTTTTTGAAAGTACTTATCTGTTCGTTTACTCAACTCTTGTTGATTCCCAAAATTTAAATTGCTTTTAATAGCAAATGTGGTTATTATTTACAAATATTCATTTTCTATTATACCCTCCACTTTTTGTTTTCTTCTGAGGTGGGATCCTATTATGTTGCCCTGGCCAATCTTGGGCTCAAGGTCCTCTTGTCTCAGTGTCCATTTTATAGGTGTTATAGGTGCATGCCACCAAGACTAGTTGTGATGCCATACTTTTAAAATTTACATTATTTGTTTGCTATATAATCCACTTTGTTGACTTTTATTTCTAACTTGTCCCTTTCCTCTATATACTTGAGAAACTCAGGTTTTTCTCAATGTTGTTTTGAACTTTCCAAAACCAAAATCTAGTAACAATGATGATATTTTAATTATATTGTTCTGTTCTTTACCATTTATTATAAAAATAAAATTATACAGCCAAGTTTAAAAACTTTACAGTTCACATATATATAATGGATGATATACACATCAGTTAGATCTCTCATTAGCATCATTCTAAACTCACTTTTTTACCTTCTATTTAGCTCTCTGTCTATTCATTAATCCATCATATTTTTATAGTTTTAAAAGTAAATTACAGAGATCAACACATTTTTCATCATAGTCTTAGCATGTATATTGTTAACTAGAATTGAGCATGTAGTTCAAGTATTTTTTATTGTAAAGAAATTTATTTATAATGAAATGGACTAATGTTAAAAAAAACATTTTTCTGAATTTTGATAAATCCATATATTTATATAACTTTTATGAATATATAAATAATTACCATCACTCCCATGGCCTTTATAGTCACTCTGTAATTCTACTTTTTTCTAGAGGCAAGTATTAATATTACTTTTCTTGTAAAGATTAATATTGCCTCTTCTAGGATGTCTGAAATCTCACAGTACTCATTATTTCTCTGTAAGACTTCTTTCATAGCATATTTTTGAAATTTATATTACACGTGTTTTTGGGTATCAGAAATTCATTTCTTTTAATTGTTAAATATGTCATGTAGGAATATAACACAGGCTCTTTATTTTTTCAATAGTTAATTAGCTTGTTTTTTAACATCCATAGCCATTCACAGGGCTGGCATCTAGAACACTCCATGCATAYCAGAATCTGATGGTACTCAATTTTCTTATTTCCTCAATTTTCTTAAAAAGGTGTTATATTTTCATGTAACCTGTTTACATCTTCTCATATACTTTAAATTATCTTTAGATTACTTATATTACCTAATACAATGTAAATAGGAATGTAAATAGTTATTAGACTATACTATTTAGGGAATAATGCCAATAATAAAAGTCTGGAAATGTTTTGCTCTTCTTTTTCTAGGATTTTGAGATGAAGTATGAGATCATTTATTTGTTGGTTTTTTCTTTTTTT